CAACATCATAAAGGTCAATTACTTGAACTGGTAATTACTTACAGTTGTAAAATCAAAGGGTGCTCCCAAGACAAGATGTAGAGCATACTGGAAAACAGATCAAATTAAGGAACATCATCCCTGTAAACGTCAAATTAAAAAAATTCTTCCCTTTTCTGTATTTAACAGCATAAAAAATAAAAACACCAACACACCAGTCATTGTTTTAATTATATCAAAACAATGTCTCACCATCAACATAAAGACTCCACAGTCTACATCACCAATCTGTTGGGGGTTATCCTGAAAAAAAAAAAAAGGTTGGAGTTTATTAACCCTTTAAGGTATGCAACATCAAAAAAGCTAAGGAAAAATTATTTCTTTGCATTTTTATTCACTTATGATAACAATAACAATCAACATTTTTTTTTAATTAGACCCTATGGCTGGATGGCTCCAAACAGTGTGTGTGTGTGTGTGTGTGTGTGTGTGTGTGTGTGTGTGTGTGTGTGTGTGTGTGTGTGTGCGTGTGCTGGTACAAAACTTCACATTTATGACTGGAGATTTGACTGCGTGTACAGACACGCGGAATGACGCGGATGTTAATGGCGTAGACATATACGCATACACGCGGATAGCTCAAAATGCGTGGAGATAACACGCCACCTGACTCGAAAGTGGCGTATATATGACGCAAAAGTCATGATGTCATGTTGTTCATACGGATTACATAATCAGAAGGTATTAGCTTACGATTTGAATTTGTTCTTTTTAAAGTGGACATTTAAAGCTTTAGTCTATAAAGGCTATTGGTTCAGTTCTCGCGCTCCAGTTCATGAAGATCATAAAGCGCGCCTGATTGTTTTATGTTAGGCTATTTTACGAAAGCACAACGTTTTCTTGTTATTGTGACATTACGCAAATAAAAGTAGTTGCGAATAATGTATTATTTTTTTCTGTATAACCAGAAATGATAGAGTATTTTAAGTTGATTCCACTGTTGATGGGAAAATGAAAGTGTTCACGGCGCACCCGCGCCTGTCTGCCATCCAGTGCGTGCTCCAAACTCCGCACACACTCTTGGATATTGGACAAAATTGAGTGTTTATTTGTGATAATCTTAGCCCTATTATTATTATTGTCCAACCTGTACTATGAATGAGATGTGACGAATTGCTTTGTTCTTTTTTGGATAAAAGCGTCTTCTACATATGTAGCCTAATAAATGTAATAATAGGCTAATGATGATAATTATTATTAATATTTGCAGACACGGACCTAAAACACATTCAGTCTTCTAAGTCAGGTGACTGTAAATGCGCAAAATCCGTTTCCATTGCAGTTTTGCGAAAAAAATCCTTTTTCGAATTGCCTAAAAAAACCTCCTCATGCGAGCGTAAAAACTTTTTTGCGATAAACGGGAGTTTTCGCGAAATTGACGTGTTTCCATTGAGCGTATTTTCATTTTGCAATTTCAATTTGCGCAAATTGAAGGGTAATGGAAATGTAGCTTCTGTGACAAGTATTTAATAAGTTGATTTTTCAAACACGTTTCAGAAAGATTTTTGCGGAGACGGAGTGAGCTGAAAGCGCACCCTGTTTAATTTATTTATTTTACAAAAATACAAGGTTTTAATATTAATAAGAGTGTACACAAAAAAGAAGACCCTCTATAGTTTATAATCACGTATTGATTTTATTTATATGACCTTTAATGACAAAGTATTTTAAGTCTATGTTGCAGCTATGTGAAAAAAAAACTATCAAAATGCAGGGATGCGTTTTTGGTCCCCAGTGGGTTAAGGTTGCTCCACCCATGCGGTTTGGTCGGACAGTGCCAATGCACCTGATGCCCAGATTCTCTTGCAGGTTCTGGACCAAGTCGAAACTGGTGAAGAAGTTGTCACAGAAGACGACTGAAATTCTTGACAATGTGATGGTTTTGCTGAGTGTTGTCACAAGTTTGGCCCTAGGAAGCAGTGCCTCCTGTTCAGTTAGGGCAACATTGAAGAATGTGGACACCCCCCGATAGAGCAGAAAGTCATGAATGATGCCAGATGAGCTTGCCCGGCACTTTTCAGGCTTGTTGGCAATATACTGGTGGAGAGAGCCAGCCCTTGTGTTTTATACGCCACCATGACCTCATCCACACTGTGCTGGTAAGTGGATGGGATCAGAAGACACTGCTGACGAAGCATGTCAAAAAGGGGGCGGATTTTGTAGAACCTGTCTGGACTGCAATTGCACTGCGGATTATCATCAACCCCTAGAGGTTGGCTTAAGCGGCGACGCGTTTTGGCAGATATTTCGTATGTGTTCTCTTTCATAGGTTCACTCAACGCTGCGGATAGCGCAGTGGGATATTCTCTGAATATGCCGATTGTCTGAAGCCCAATAGAATCACGCCAATTCATTGGCTGATGGCGCTCGCGCAATCTGGCCCCGCCTCGACGCAATTACGCCGCACAATCATATACGCGCGTGCGCCATCCTCCCCTCAGATTTCTCTGCCTTCACGAAGCGATCACATCGTCCTTCGTCTCGGTTTTTCTAAAGCCTATATAACGGATTATTCGGATTCTTGCACTTCAGCGACTGCACAAGTGGAACTCTGTTCTCCTTCCAGTGAAGCTGCAATGGAGTATCGACGTTGCTCTCCGCCATGTGCTCGCTTCATCGCAAGTGACGACCCTCACAGTAAGTGCATCAGGTGTTTGGGTTTCTCACATGCGCGCGAGGCCGTTTTGGGTTTTTCTAAATGTAAATTTTGCGATAATTTACTTCTAAAAACTCTCCGCTCTCGGCTTGCGGTTTTTGAGAAGGATTCTAAATTCGTTTCCCCCCGTCGCGCTCCCTAGGCTTCTCGAGGATCCGCGGCCTGGGGTTCGGATGTTGAGCTCGAGGATGTGGAGTTTGAGCAGACGGGCCCCGCTCTTTCTCTCCCTCCATCTCCCGAGCTCGCTCACTCGCCAGTTGAGTTCGCTCATGATTATTTGTGCCCCAGCCCGGGAGCACGCGATTCTGTTTCTTTCGGGCTGGAGGACGTCATCTTTACCCCGGCTTCCGACTCCGAGGATTTCGGGCCTGCTCTCGTCGATGACGTTATCCCGCCTAGCGGCCAGGAAACGCGGCCTACCGCGGCCTACTCTGAGCTCGTGGATGTGCTTTCGCGCGCCACGGAGAAACTCTCGATCGACTGGCCTGACGAGCCCCGCGAATCGCAGTAAAAAAAAAAAAAAAAGCCTCCAAACTCGATGAGAGGTTTTTTAGTGGCCCTAATTCTAGGCCCCAACGGAGAAAATTGCCGTTTTTCAACGATCTGCATCGGGAGATTTTCAGATCCTGGAAGCAGCCTTTCTCTTCGCGTCTCACTAATGCGTCAGCTGCTGATTTCACCAACCTCGTGGGTTCCGTGGAACAGGGCTACTCTGCCATTCCGGCGATCGAGGATACTTTGGCCAGCCATCTTGCTCCATCGTCAGCGCCATCTTGGAGGGCACGTAAAAAAAAAAAAAAAAAAAAAAAAAAAAAAACCCTCTCCTTCCATCGAAGGCATGTAGAACCTCTTCCTCTCATCGGGAAATCCTACATAGCGGCTGGTTAGGCAGGCATGACCCTTCACACTATGGCCATCCTTCAGGCCTACCAGGCCGATATCCTTAAAGAGATAGATGAGGGTAGTGGTGTCACTCCTGAGGCTGTGAAGGAGCTGCGTAAGGCCACGGATTTGGCCCTAAGGGCCACCAAACATACCGCACGTGCGGTGGGCCGCTCTATGGCTGGCGCGGTTGCTTTGGAACGCCACTTATGGCTCAACCTCACTGAAATTTCGCGATAGAGATAAGGTTTTCCTCCTCGACGACCTTATCTCTCAGTCAGGTCTGTTTGGGGAGGCGGTCAATACAGTGGTCGAGAATTCCGTTCCTCCAAGTCTCAATCCGCCGCTTTTAAGCAGTTCATGCCCAGGAGAGTTAGGGAATCCCCCGCTCCCTCCCCTGCCCGAAGACCTAGAGAACGTTTTTCTCAGGGAGCGGAGTCCTCTTTCAGGAGGAGTGACCCAGCGCGTCCCCCACCTCCCACGGTTTGGGGAGCCAGCGGTCGCCCGTTCCCCAGTCAGCGACCTCATAAGCATGTGCAGCTGAAGCGATCCGACAAGCCGCCCGCTCCAGCTGCTTCGTCCCGCTCCTGACCCTTTGGTCGGGAAAAGGAGAGCTCCTCCACAGGCACGAGGTTGGGACAGACCGCGCAAGCGTTTCTGTCCACCTCCAACCAGCTCTCCTTTTCTTACCCTGTCTCCTTCGCCACCCTGGGTGTTTCGAAGAGCAGGCCATATTTCACCGCGTCTACGCAGCCCGGTGCGAGAGGAAGGAGACACCCTGGGTTTTCTCCCCTCTCCCCCGACTCTCTCTTTGACTGCCGGTCACGTCCTCAGTAACGCTCTTCCTTTTTCTCTGGAGCAGGCAGGCCCGGTCACCCTTGGCCTTGCCCTGTCACCGAGAACGTTCACGAAATGCATGGATGCAGCACTGGCCCCCTTGCGGCTCCAGGGCATCCGCATTCTCAATTATCTGGACGACTGGCTCATTCTAGCCCAGTCCAGGGAGTTGGTTACCCACCACAGGGACACTGTTCTCCGCCATATTCAGTCTCTCGGCCTGAGGTTGAACCTGGAGAAGAGTGTTCTTACTCCAGCTCAGCACACAGTCTTCCTGGGTGTGCACATGGATTCCGTTCGTATGCAGGCCCGTTTGGCTTGTGGCAATGAAGAGCCACGTGCCACGAGTCACTATTTTTTTTGATTACTTTCACTTTCACGTTTGCGCAAAAGGGGTTGAGTATGTTAATCACTCAATCACCGCTAATCAAGGAAGGAAATTGAATATAAGGGTGTGTGTAGTACCTGGGAAAATGCGCGTCACCCGTTTGTGATTGAGAAGTTTGCAGTGAAATCGTGATGGATTGTTGGGGAGAGACGGCTGCTTGTCGATCTGTTGCTTCCTGTGGTTGAAGTCTAGTGCAGCGCGAAAGTCGTTGCAGTCTCAGACAAACGAACATTGAGCTGTTTTAACGACAAGCCAGAGCTGTTTTATCCGCTGATCCTAGTGTTGAAGAGGACACTCGATACTCACCAAACTGTTTCTTGCCTGCAAATGTGGTCAGTACCTTTACGCCGCCATTCACACACGCACGCACCCACTCGCATTTCACATTTGCACATTCAGTGTGCTTAGTTTTGTTTTTGTTTTTTCTCATAAATTGTTGTTGCCTGTTAAAATTATTGTTTGATGTTGTTGATTTACAACGAAATGAATGAGTTGTTTACTTTCTTTTTCTCTTTTCCTTTTTTTATGAACAATTTGTGAATGAATGTGGACACGAATCTGCCAACGTGGATTAGTGACGCGCGAGGTTGTCTGCGCCGTCTATGGTCTGCACGGATTTAAATCTGTTTGTGGAACTTGGACTCAGGAACTTCTGAGAATCTATTTTGTTATTAGTATTTGTTGTGAATAAATATTCTTTGTAAAATGATTTTTTTTCTTTCTTTTTTTTATATATATATATAAATTTATTGTTTAACAGGTGGTTACATTCTGGCTATCCTGGGTTAATGTAAATTTTGACAGGTTTTACCTTGTCTGGCGCCCGAATTTTTCTTTAAGAGAGTTATTTGAGATAAGGCGGCGACCACCGTTACAGGCTCCTGCACGGATTTGTAGTTTGATGACATGTTTGGCCCGTTTTTCGCTTGGCCATCATGTCTCTGTGGGCACTTGCCGCAGGCTTCTGGGCTTAATGGCCGCAGCCTCCCCTGTGCTACCCCTGGGTCTGCTCCACATGAGACCCTTCTTGTGGTGGATGAAGCTCTCAGGCATCCGGCCCACTGGGTCAGCCTTTCGCCTGTTGAGGGTGTCGGGCAGTTGCTCTCGCGCCCTGTCGATTTGGCGGGACCATCTCTTTCTTCAGAAAGGGGTCAGCATGGGAACGGTATTCCGTCGCCAGATGCTTACGACGGATGCCTCTCTAACCGGTTGGGGAGCAGTTTTCGAGGGCAGGCCAGCATGTGGGGTCTGGACGGGCGAGACCCTCGCTTGGCACATAAACTGCTTAGAACTGAGAGCCGTCTTCCTGGCTTTGCGTCATTTCCTCCCTTTTCTAAAGGATCACCATGTCATTGTCAGGACGGACAACATGGCGGTAGTTTCCTATGTAACTGGTTCTCCCTGAATCCTCCAGCTCCGTTGGGGATAGATGCATTCGCCCACCCTTGGCCAATGCAGAAACTCTACGCCTTCCCGCCCATTAGGCTTGGATCTCCTGACTGACGTTCAGAAGACCATCGCTAGTGCTAGAGCTCTTTCTACAAGGAGTCTGTATTCTTCCAAATGGAAGGTTTTCGCGTCTTGGTGCTTGGCACGTGATAGGAACCCAGTTAACTGCCCTGTCGCTTCAGTGTTGGAGTTCCTGCAAGAGAGGTTTTCCTCCGGGGCGGCGGCTACCACCCTCAGGGTCTATTCCTTTGGGTAAACTGAGGTTAGTTTCGGCCTTCATGCGTGGGGTTAGGCGCCTGAAACCAGTTCGCTCCCCTAGAGTTCCCTCTTGGGATCTTTCTGTCGTCTTGGAGGGTTTTAAAGGAGGCCCCCTTTGAACCCTTAGAGTCAGCTCCAGATCGGATTCTGACTCTTAAGGTGTCACTTTTGTTGGCTTTGTCTTCTTTAAAGCGGGTAGGGGACTTGCAGGCTTTTTCTGTTAGCGAGTCATGCTTAGACTTTGCTCCCGGGTTAGTCAAAGTTTCCTTGAGACCTAGGCCAGGCTATGTTCCTAAGGTTCTCTCCACAGCGTTCCGCTCTCAGGTTGTTAGCCTTAACGCTTTCTACCCTCCGCCTTTTTCCTCTGAGGAGGATAGGAAGCTTAATCTGCTCTGCCCAGTTCGGTCTTTGAAGTTTTATGTAGACCGCTCCAGCTGTTGGAGGAAATCTAACCAGCTTCTGGTTTGTTTTGGTGCTGGCCGCCATAAGCTTGCTGCATCGAAACAGAGGATTTCTCATTGGGTCACAGAGGCGATATCGATTGCCTACCAGGCGCGTGGTTTGCCTTCGCCTCTTGGCATTAAAGCTCATTCCACCAGGAGTGTGGCATCCTCTCAAGCTCTTTTCAGGGGAGCTCTCTTAGAGGACATTTGTGTTGCGGCCGGATGGTCCTCTCCGCACACTTTTGTACGTTTCTACAATTTGGATCTTGACATTGACCCCGGGTTCCCAGATACTTTCTGTTTGAACCGTTTGTAGTCATTATCTTTCGATACCAGTCATTACAGCGCTCTTTGCTTGGCGAGTTTGGTATCCCGTTCCCACTGCGCTATCCGCAGCGTTGAGTGAACCTATGAAAGAGAACGTCTCTGGTTACTTACGTAACCTATGTTCTCTGAATAGGGAACGAGACGCTGCGTTAGCGGCCAAGCTCCTCACGCTGCTGACAGTCTTCTTTTCGGCAGAGAGATCTGAGGGGAGGATGGCGCACGCGCGTATATGATTGTGCGGCGTAATTGCGTCGGGGCGGGGCCAGATTGCGCGAGCGCCATCAGCCAATGAATTGGCGTGATTCTATTGGGCTTCAGACAATCGGCATATTCAGAGAATATCCCACTGCGCTATCCGCAGCGTCTCGTTCCCTATTCAGAGAACATAGGTTACGTAAGTAACCAGAGACGTTTTGTGGCCTTTTTAGTTTTTTCAATGACAACACATAAACAATATTCTCTCAAAAATACAAATGTACATACATGTTGCTCACACATTATGGTAGCCCTGTTTGTGCTAAATATAGTGTAATATCACCTGTGCCATTAATGTTTATAAGCAACTGAAAAAAGCACAAATGTCAAATCATGTCAAAACATCTCAAGGACCCCAAAAACATCTTAGACCATCCAGGTAGACATACATGTCATCCAGGTAGACATATATGAACTGATTGATCATATCTCGCAACACGTCATTGACCAGTGCCTGAAAAACTGCTGGGGAGTTGGACAGCCCGAAAGGCATGACCAAGTATTCAAAGTGCCCCCTGGGGGTATTAAAAGCAGTTTTCCACTAATCTCCCACCCTAATGCGGACCAAATGATAAGCGTTACGTAAGTCCAATTTTGTGAAGATGGATGCTCCACGCAACCTCTCGAAAGCTGAAGACATCAACGGCAAAGGATGAGTATTCTTTACCGTGATGTTATTCAACCCTCTGTAATCAATGCAAGGCAGCGAACCATCCTTCTTCCCCACAGAAAAACCTGCCCCCGCTGGAGAAGAGGAAGGGCGAATGAACTTGGCTGCTAGAGAACCAGAAATATATTTCTCCATAGCCTCTCTTTCAGGAATCGAATGTGAATATAACTTGCCCTTAGGCGGAGACTTACCTGGCAGTAAATCTATTGCACAGTCATAGGGACAATGCGGAGGGAGAGAAGCAGCACGAGCAGTAGCGGTTCTAGGCACGGGCGAACCGGGCAGTCGCCCGGGGCGGCATTTCTTCATGTCACATGGGGGGCGGCACGCACGAGCAGTTAAAAAAATCCTCTGTGCCTCGAAGGTTTTCTATTTTTTTACCATTTCGATTCAATTATTGGCAATGGCGCCCCTAATTGCTGAGAAGGTGCCGTGCACAGAAGCGATGTCAAGGGGGTCTCTTGATTAGTTCACGTATCGCGTCTTTTGCGCGCTCGAGGTCGTTATTTCAAATAGGCGATTAGGCGCACGGGAAGCGCGCTCATTATGCGCTCGCGGGAGGCGCGCTCATAAACTTTTCAGTATGGGAGTGCTCGTGCACCCAAACACTTGGGTGTTTTTTCTCTTCTCCATAAACTATTAATAATAAAAGCTACTGTGCATTATAAATGTCAGGAATGTATCTTTATTGACTCATTCTTTTTATAGAGATAATTGAATGCTGAGATATGAGGTATATATTTTTATAAAATCTCTTTTTGTGTTAACCTTTTTTAAGTTTAGTAGGTAAGATAAAAGACACTCCTTTAAAACAAATCTTTAATGTTATTAACTTGGTGAATTGATTGTGTATTAGGCTTTTTGTGTATGTGATCATGTTGGTCACTATATTCATGAAATGAAAATAATTTACATAATGATCAACTTTGTCTTTTTACAGTAGCCTATATGCAAAGTACAATTTTCTATTTTTTAACATTCTAACATTTTAAGAGTGACATAGGGCTACAAAAGCTATTTTAGGCCTATAACAGTTTGGATAGTGTTTAATATGAGAGCTGTTCAAAATTATTTAAGAGATAAGAGATAAGTATTGTGTTACTAAATAAGTATCTCTCAGACCCTTTTACTTTTAAAAACTCCATTTCGTGATAAATATTGTTTAACAAGCCATAACTAAAAGTGTGCCATGCATATAATTTAAGGCAATAACCAATGCGCTAATGGTTACTTCCTCTCTTTAAAGTTAGATTAATCTAGCAAAATAACTGGATTCTATTAACTGTGTTTTTCAAATGAACGGTATGTGATTTTATTGTTGGGTTGTTGTTGTTGTTGTTTTGTTTGTTGTTTTTTTTTTTTTTTTTTTTTTGGGGGGGGGGGGGGCGCTCGAAGGGGGTCTCGCCCTGGGTGTAATTCAGAGTAGAACCGCCACTGAGCACGAGACTTACTGAACACTTCCTACAGGTCCAGATACTCTGTGGGCACATTAGACAAATCCCCTGCGTCCTCCTGAAACACAGAAACAGAATATAGAGTCCAAAACATAAAATGAAATAGTCTCCGTGTGGTTGCCAGAGGTGATGAGTATGATGTCTTCCGTGGAATAGAAAACGTTAGGGAGCTCTTGACCATTCAGAGTGTGAACTGCAATCCGGTGAGTGAGGGGTTTGAGGGGAGTCTGAAGTGTGTGTGTGAAATTATGGTCCATGAAATTATCCTCAGTAAGGAATAATCGTGCTGGTGGACTGACCATCTTAGTCTTACCAAGAGGAGGGTGGAGGTAGATGGAGTAGATGATGAGGTCTTCCTGGCGGAGATCCCACCCGACAGTATCCTCAAGTTTACTATCGGGCTGGGCCCTTTGACTGGACAGTTGTCGGCATATTGTCCAGCTCCTTCACAATACAGACAAAGGCCCTGGGACCTCCACCTCTCCTCTCGGGAAAGCCCAGCTTGACCCACCTGCATGGACTTGTGATCGTAGACGGGGCTGACCATGTCCCTGCCGCTGGATCGTGGACCATTGGAAACCTCGAGTGTGCAGTTGGACGTAGCTTGACGCTCGGCTCTGGATAACCGTGCATCCACCTGCAGGGCCAAATCAATCCGTCCATTGAGGGTGGCGGGAAGATCCAGGGCGTAGAGCTCCATCTGAACGTGGTCAGCCAGCCCATGCAGGAACATGTCCCACTGCGCCTCCTTGTTCCAGCCACACTCTGCCGCCAAGGTCCTGAACTCAATAGAAAAGTCCCACACGGATCCTCCTTCCTGCTGTAGTTCGGCCAATGCTCTGGCC